ACACTAGTACACACACACACTAGTACACACACACTAGTACACACACACACACTAGTACACACACACTAGTACATACACACACAATAGTACACACACACACTAGTACACACACACTAGTACACACACACACAAATGTACACACACACACTAGTACACACACACACTAGTACACACACACTAGTACACACACACTAGTACACGCTCACACACTTGTAAACACACACACACACACTAGTACACACACACACTAGTACACACACACACTAGTACACACACACTAGTACACACACACACTAGTACACTTACACACACTAGTACACACACACACTAGTACACACACACTAGTACACACACACACACACTAGTACACACACACTAGTACACACACACACACACACTAGTACACACACACTAGTACACACACACACACTAGTACACACACACTAGTACCAACCTACACACCACTAGTACACACACCACACTAGTAAACACACACACACACTAGTACACACACACACTAGTACCACACACACACTAGTACACACACACTATTACACACACACACAACTAGTACACACACACACACACTAGTACACACACACTAGTAACACACACACACTAGTACACACACACACTAGTACACACACACAACACTAGCACACACTAGTACACACCACACACCTAGTACACACGACACACACACTAGTACACACTAGTACACACACACTAGTACACAACACACACACTAGTACACACACACACACACTAGTAAACACACACACTAGTACACAACACACACACTAGTACACTACACACTAGTACACACACTACACACTAGTGACACACACTAGTACACACACACACACACTAGTACACACACACACTAGTACACACACACACACACACTACTACACACACACTAGTACACACACACACTAGTACACACACTAGTACACACACACACACACTAGTACACACACACACTAGTACACACACACACACTAGTACACACACACTAGTACACACACACACTAGTAAACACACACACTAGTACACACACACACACTAGTACACACACACACACTAGTACACACACACACACTAGTACACACACACACACTAGCACACACTAGTACACACACACACACACACTAGTACACACACACACACACACTAGTACACACTAGTACACACACACTAGTACACACTAGTACACACACACTAGTACACACACACACACTAGTAAACACACACACACACTAGTACACACACACACTAGTACACACACACACACTAGTACACACACACTAGTACACACACACACACACACTAGTACACACACACACACTAGTACACACACACACACACACTAGTACACACACACTAGTACACACACACACACACTAGTACACACACACTAGTACACAACACACACTAGTACACACACACACACACTAGTACACAACACTACACACACACTAGTACACACACACACACACTAGTACACACACACACACTAGTACACACACACTAGTACACACACACACACTAGTACACACACACCACACTAGTACACACACACACACTAGTACACCACACACTAGTACACACACACTAGTACACACACACACACTAGTACACACACACTAGTACACACACACACACTAGTCACACACCACTAGTACACACACACACACTAGTACACACACACACTAGTACACACACACACTAGTACACACACACTAGTACACACACACACTAGTACACACACACTAGTACACACACACACTAGTACACACACACACTAGTACACACACACACACTAGTACACACACACTAGTACACACACACACTAGTACACACACACACACACTAGTACACACACACACACACTAGTACACACTACTACACACACACTAGTACACACACACACACACTAGTACACACACACACACACACTAGTACACACACACACACTAGCACACTAGTACACACACACACACACACTAGTACACACACACACACACTAGTACACACACACACACACACACACTAGTACACACACACTAGTACACACACACACACACTAGTACACACACACTACACACACTAGTACACACACACACACTAGTCACACACACCACACTAGTACACACACACACTAGTACACACACACACACTAGTACACACCACACACACTAGTACACACACACACACTAGTACACACACACACACACTAGTACACACACACACTAGTACACACACACTAGTACACACACACACACTAGTACACACACACACACACACTAGTACACACACACTAGTACACACACACACACTAGTACACACACACTAGTACACACACACACTAGTACACACACACACACTAGTACACACACACTAGTACACACACACACACTAGTACACACACACACACACTAGTACACACACACACACTAGTACACACACACACACTAGTACACACACACTAGTACACACACACACTAGTACACACACACACACTAGTACACACACACACACTAGTACACACACACTAGTACACACACACACACTAGTACACACACACTAGTACACACACACTAGTACACACACACTAGTACACACACACACTAGTACACACACACACACTAGTACACACACACTAGTACACACACACTAGTACACACACACACACTAGTACACACACACTAGTACACACACACTAGTACACACACACACACTAGTACACACACACACACTAGTACACACACACACACTAGTACACACACACTAGTACACACACACTAGTACACACACACACACTAGTACACACACCACTAGTACACACACACACTAGTACACACACACACTAGTACACACACACACACTAGTACACACACACACACTAGTACACACACACTAGTACACACACACACTAGTACACACACACTAGTACACACACACTAGTACACACACACACACACTAGTACACACACACTAGTACACACACACACACTAGTACACACACACTAGTACACACACACTAGTACACACACACACACTAGTACACACACACTAGTACACACACACTAGTACACACACACACACACTAGTACACACACACTAGTACACACACACTAGTACACACACACACACTAGTACACACACACACACTAGTACACACACACACTAGTACACACACACTAGTTCACACACACTAGTACAGACACACACACACTAGTACACACACACTAGTACACACACACACACTAGTACACACACACTAGTACACACACACTAGTACACACACACACACTAGTACACACACACTAGTACACACACACACACTAGTACACACACACTAGTAGTAGTAGTACACACACACTAGTAGTAGTACACACACACACTAGTACACACACACACACACTAGTACACACACACACACACTAGTACACACACACTAGTACACACACACACACTAGTACACACACACACACTAGTACACACACACACTAGTACACACACACTAGTACACACACACACACACTAGTACACACACACACACTAGTACACACACACACACTAGTACACACACACACACTAGTACACACACACACACTAGTACACACACTAGTACACACTCACACACTAGTACACACACACACACTAGTACACACACACACACTAGTACACACACACTAGTACACACACACACACTAGTACACACACACACACTAGTACACACACACACACTAGTACACACACACTAGTACACACACACACACTAGTACACACACATACACACTAGTACACACACACACACTAGTACACACACACACACTAGTACACACACACTAGTACACACACACTAGTACACACACACACTAGTACACACACACTAGTACACACACACTAGTACACACACACACACACTAGTACACACACACTAGTACACACACACACACTAGTACACACACACTAGTACACACACACACACTAGTACACACACACTAGTACACACACACACACTAGTACACACACACACACTAGTACACACACACACACTAGTACACACACACACACACACTAGTACACACACACACACTAGTACACACACACTCACACACTAGTACACACACACACACTAGTACACACACACTAGTGTACACACACACACACTAGTACACACACACTAGTACACACACACTAGTACACACACACACACACTAGTACACACACACACACTAGTACACACACACACACACTAGTACACACACACACACTAGTACACACACACTAGTACACACACACACACTAACACACACACACTAGTACACACACACACACTAGTACACACACACACACACTAGTACACACACACACACTAGTACACACACACACACTAGTACACACACACACACTAGTACACACACACACACTAGTACACACACACACACACTAGTACACACACACTAGTACACACACACTAGTACACACACACACACACTAGTACACACACACTAGTACACACACACTAGTACACACACACTAGTACACACACACACACTAGTGTACACACACACACACGTACACACACACTAGTACACACACACACACTAGTGTACACACACACACACTAGTACACACACACACACTAGTACACACACACACACTAGTACACACACACACACACACTAGTACACACACACACACACTAGTACACACACACACTAGTACACACACACACACACTAGTACACACACACACACACTAGTACACACACACACACTAGTACACACACACACACACACTAGTACACACACTAGTACACACACACTAGTACACACACACACACACACTAGTACACACACACACACACACTAGTACACACACACACACACTAGTACACACACACACACTAGTACACACACACACACACTAGTACACACACACACACACACTAGTACACACACACACACTAGCACACACACACCGCCCACCTGGCGTGCTGCTCCGGGTCGGCGTTGTACAGGTGCAGGAGTGGCCGTAGAGAGTCTGCGTAGGCTCGCGCTGGCTCCAGCGCCCTGCGCACGCACGCAGCCAGCGACGAGCGCAGCTCCTCCACAGCGGGCTCGTGGAGACACACGGACTGGAGCAACGGAGTGCCACTGAAGAACATGCCCTGGAGCACCAGCTGGGTAGACACACACAGAGAGACACACAGAGAGACACATGGTGAGACACACACAGAGAGAGACACACACACACAGAGAGACACACGGTGAGACACACACAGAGAGACGGTGAGACACACACAGAGAGAGACACACACACACAGACACACGGACTGGAGTAGCGGAGTGCCACTGAAGAACATGCCCTGGAGCACCAGCTGGGTAGATACACACAGAGACACACACACAGAGAGACACACACACACACAGAGACTCACACACACAGAGAGAGACTCACACACACACACGGTGAGACACACACACACAGAGAGACACGCACACACACAGACAGAGACACACGGTGAGACACACACAGAGAGACGGTGAGACACACACACAGAGAGAGACACACACACACAGACACACACAGAGAGACTCACACACACACAGACACACGGACTGGAGCAACGGAGTGCCACTGAAGAACATGCCCTGGAGCACCAGCTGGGTAGGTAGACACACACAGAGAGACACACACACACACACACAGAGACAGACACACGGTGAGACACACACAGAGACACACACACACAGAGAGAGACACACACACACAGACACACGGACTCGAGCAGCCGAGTGCCACTGAAGAACATGCCCTGGAGCACCAGCTGGGTAGACACACACACAGAGAGAGACACACACACAGACACACACACACAGAGAGAGACACACACAGAGAGACACACGGTGAGACACACACAGAGACACACAGAGAGACTCACACACACAGAGACACACGGACTGGAGCAGCGGAGTGCCACTGAAGAACATGTCCTGGAGCACCAGCTGGGTAGACACACACAGAGAGAGACACACACACACAGAGAGACACGGTGAGACACACACAGAGAGACACACACACACAGACACACGGTGAGACACACACAGAGACTCACACACACAGAGACTCACACACACAGAGACACACACACAGAGAGACACACGGTGAGACACACACAGAGACTCACACACACACAGAGACTCACACACACAGAGAGAGAGACACACACAGACACACGGTGAGACACACACAGTGAGACGGTGAGACACACACAGAGACTCACACACAGAGACACACGGTGAGACACACACAGAGAGAGACACACACAGACACACGGTGAGACATACACAGAGAGACGGTGAGACACTCACAGAGACACGCACACACAGAGACTCACACACACAGAGACACACACAGAGACACACACACAGAGACACACGGACTGGAGCAGCCGAGTGCCACTGAAGAACATGCCCTGGAGCACCAGCTGGGTAGACACACACACAGAGAGACACACACAGAGAGACACATGGTGAGACACACACAGACACACGGTGAGACACACACAGAGAGAGACACACACACAGAGAGACACACAGAACATGCCCTGGAGCACCAGCTGGGTAGACACACACAGAGAGAGACACACACACAGAGAGACACACGGTGAGACACACACAGAGACACACGGTGAGACACACACACACAGAGACTCACACACACACACAGACACACGGACTCGAGCAGCGGAGTGCCACTGAAGAACATGCCCTGGAGCACCAGCTGGGTAGACACACACACAGAGAGAGACACACACACACACAGAGAGACACACACACACAAACACACGGTGAGACACACACAGAGACTCACACACACAGACACACACAGAGACTCACACAGAGAGACACACACACACAGAGAGAGACACACACACACAGAGACTCACACACACACAGAGACACACACACACACAGACACACAGAGAGACACACACACACAGAGAGAGACACACACACACAGAGACACACACACACAGAGAGACTCACACACACACAGACACACGGACTCGAGCAGCCGAGTGCCACTGAAGAACATGCCCTGGAGCACCAGCTGGGTAGACACACACACAGAGACACACAGAGACACACGGTGAGACACACACAGAGAGACACACAGAGACACACGGTGAGACACACACAGAGACGGTGAGACACACACAGAGACTCACACACACAGAGAGAGAGACACGCACACAGAGACACACGGTGAGACACACACAGAGAGACACACACACAGACACACGGTGAGACACACACAGAGACTCACGCACACACAGAGAGACACACACACAGAGACTCACACACACAGAGAGACACACAGAGACTCACACACACAGAGAGAGACGCGCACACACACACAGACACACGGTGAGACACACGGTGAGACACACACAGAGACTCACGCACACAGAGAGACACACACACAGAGACTCACACACAGAGAGACACACACACAGACACACGGTGAGACACACATAGAGACTCACACACACAGAGAGACACACACACAGAGACTCACACACACAGAGAGACACACACACACAGACACACGGTGAGACACACACAGAGACTCACACACACACAGAGACTCACACACACACAGAGACACACACACAGAGACTCACACACACACAGAGACTCACAAACACAGAGAGACACACACACACGGTGAGACACACACAGAGACTCACGCACACACAGAGAGAGACGCGCACACACACAGAGATACACGGTGAGACACACACAGAGACTCACACACACACAGAGACACACAGAGACTCACACACACAGAGAGACACACACACACAGACACACGGTGAGACACACACAGAGACTCACACACACAGAGACTCACACACACAGAGAGACACACACACACACACGGTGAGACACACAGAGACTCACACACACAGAGAGAGACGCGCACACACACGGTGAGACACACAGAGACTCACACACACAGAGAGACACACACACAGACACACGGTGAGACACATGGTGAGACTCACGCACACAGAGAGACACACACACGGTGAGACACACACAGAGACTCACACACACAGAGACACACACACACAGACACATGGTGAGACACACACAGAGACTCACACACACACAGAGAGAGACACACACACACACAGACACACGGTGAGACACACACAGAGACACACACACACAGAGAGACACACACACACAGACACATGGTGAGACACACACAGAGACTCACACACACACAGAGAGACACACATACACACAGACGCGCAGAGAAACAGTGAAACGCAGAAAAGGTGGGACACACACGCAGACACACGCAGGCACAACGACAACAACCGCCATTCGCCACTAAGTGGCGGTGACGTCACCACGACGCTTGTGCCAGGCGATGTGCACCTTGAGGCCACGTGAAGTGTCGAACGCCCGCTGGCAGAAGGTCACGGGGCAGACCCAGGTGCCACGGGTCGACTGACTGAGATGACTGGCTGATGCACCACCTGTGCCACCTACTGTGCCAACCTGCTGTGCTTTAGCCACCCGGCGCTCCGTTCGTTGTTGTGAGCGTCGCTCCTCCGCCCTCCGTTGTTGTTGGAGGGCGACTGCCTCCGACCCACCCAGTAGCGTCCTTCATGAGCCTCCTCCACAGAGGCCGATCTTGACACCGCTGATACCGGTCATCGGCAAGTCCACTCAGCTCCACGTCCTCCTGTACCACATCACTCCATCTCTTCTCTAGCGCGTGCCGCGCCCGTTTAGCCCCCTCGATCCAGCCGAACAAAAGGTGTTAAGGCATGTGGTGGCTGGGCGTGCGGGCTACATGACCCAGCCAACGCAGCCTTGCCTGCAGGAGGAGCTCAACGATGGGACTTTGTTCAGATCTTTCAAAGATTTGCAGGCTCCTCAGAATCCAGCCTGATTAAACCCAGGATGGATCGTAGGCAGGCTAGCCTAAATGTTTCTAACCGGCAAAGATGTTCCATTAGGGGATTCCACGTTTCACAAGCGTAGAGAAGGGAGGGAATGACCGTGGCCGAGAAGACCTGAAGCTTCGTGCAGAGCGACAGACCAGGTAGCTTCCACACAGCGTTACGCAACCGATGTAAAGATAATGCCGCTCGACTGATTCTGAGTGAGACCTCTGCTGTTAAACTGGAGCCGGTCATAACCACACTGCCCAGATATGGGAAACTCTCCACTCTCTCCACAACTGCCCCATCACCAATTGGGGTGGAGTTTCCGATGGTACAAAATACCCTGGCAGGTGCTTAGTTGTGGTGGGGCTGATGGTAAGGCCTCACTTCTTAGTGGCAAGCTCCAGGTTTAGCAGCAGCGCCTCCAACTCCTCCTCTGAGTGACCAGCGATTACCAGATCATTGGCATACATAACATGGTTGAGCAATAGGGAGCCATCCCTTGACCACACCCGGGCATCGATCAGCCTCCCATTATATCTGTAACAAATATAGATTCCCCCGGTACAACTATTGAAGGATTCACAAACTACGTGGTCAAAATAGATGTTAAATAATGTGGGAGCCAGAGGACATCCCTGTCGCACCCCAAGGTATAAAGGGAATGGCTCTGACTCCTGGCCACGTAGTTTTACTTGGGCCCGCTCACCATCATGAAGGTCCTTAATGATCGTGAGCAGAGGGTCAGGGACTCCAAAAGCATGAAGAACAACCCAAAGCCCAGGCCTACTGATGGTATCATAGGCCTTGACCAGGTCAATAAAGCAGAGATGTAGGTCTTGTTGGAATTCCCTACACCTCTGCTGTAGCAGACGGACAGAAAATATGGCATCTGTGCAGGACCGCCCTTTCCTGAAATCGCATTGGGGCTCCGCAAGCCTCTCTTCAGCGTGCCTGGCAACGCGATGTTGAATAATCCTTGCCAGGACCTTTCCCGGCACACTGTGGAGTGAGATGCCCCTGTAGTTGTTACAGTCTGTACGGTCCCCCTTCTTAAAGAGGGGGACCACCAGGGCATCCATCCAGTCCAGCGGAACCCGTCCAGTGGTCCAGACTGTTGTTATGATGTCATATAGGGCAGTCTGTGCACAAACGCCACCCTACCTCAGCATTTCGCTTGGGAGATCATCTCTGCCCGGTGTCATTGCTGGCCTCAGACTCTGGATCGCCTTCAGTGCTTCCTCAACAGATGGCACCTCAGCCAGCTACTCACAGGGGGTGACTTCTTATTCCAATATTTGAGGCACCGCGGCTTCGGCAGGGTCATCCCCACTTTGTGCCACGATGTTTTCCAGGCTGAGGGATTTCCCCTCCCCCAGGACCTCACAGAAATGCTCAGCAAATCTGCAAACCTGTTTCTGGGGGTTGGAGATTGGATCACCATTCTTTCTCATAATGATGGTAATAGGTGTGGCGCTGCAGGTTACTTTTATTTGGAATTATATAGCGATTTGTGATCGTGAGCCATTGAGGCAGACTCCATCTCCTCAGCAACCCGCAACCACCACCCATCCTTGCAGTGCCTCGCGGCTCTCCGAACCTCTGAGCGAAGGCTGCGGTAAGCCTCCTCATTCTCTGACGTGGGATGCTGTAGCCAGTGAGAGTGGGCCTGTCGCTTTTTCTCAGCCAGCCTGAACACCTCCTCTGTCAGCCAGGCTCTCTGGGGAGGTCTGGACCGTATACCCAATGCTGCCATTGCAGCTGCATGAGCCACAGTCCTAAACCTCGCCCATTTCCCCTCGACATCAGGAGTGGGGGACGATGCCAACCCCAACCGCAAGTGATGATGAAATTCTCGCTTGCAACTTTCATCAGCTAGCTGAGACCATGCCACTAAGGGTTTGAATGGGGTCCTGGGTGTACACCCACCACCGGAGTGGAAGAATGGCAGGTGCATCTTACAGATGACAAGTCGATGGTCAGTGGTCAGATCAGCTCCACGGTAGGTCCTGGTGTCAAGGACATGGGCCCGCATCCGCTGTTCCATCACTATGTAGTCCAGCAGATGTTCTTGCTTGGACCCGGAATGCATCCATGATATTGTGTGGATGCGCCGATGCCGGAACAGCGTGTTGGTAATTACAAGCCCATGGGCTGCACACAAATCTAGCAGCCTCCTACCATTGTTATTGAGCTGATCTGCCCATGCCCTCTTATCACTCCAGACCAGGTGCTAGCATCATGACCAACTCGGGCATTGAAGTCACCCAACAAGATGACTCTATCCCGAGGGGCCACTTAAGCCAGCACCTGTGACAGGAGGTCATAGAAGGCATCTGACTCATGGGCTTTGCCTGCATCCCTCCACGGATGTTCGTCTTCAGTGGGGGGCATAAGTAACCACGACCACCACTCCTCGTCTCTGGTTGATGGGAAGGCGAGCCCAAAGTAGCCTGGGGCTTACAGCTTCTCACACCTCACCGCCACGCTCCCACGCCCCCTTCATTATTTTGTTCAGAATAGCCACTCCCTGGTGTTTGGCAGTCTGCTGCCCCGAGTTAGAGGACTGTCCACCACTCACGGTGGCAGGAGCCAGAGCCGGTCCACCGGACCTCCTGAATACCACAGAGATGCAGGCGGTAGCGGTCCAGCTCCCGACAGAGGAGTGGCAGCCTCTCCTCCGCAGTGAGCGTTAGAACATTCTGCGTGGCCACACGAAGTGGCTTTTCGTTGTATCTGGAGGAGCCCCGAGGGTAAGGATTTAGTCTCCTGGCTCCGCAAAATGGGCTTTGGCCAGGAGACGTCATAGACGCCTGTCCCCCCGGGGCCTCCGGCACAAGCTTATTAATTACATTTTTCAGTCGTGGTTTAGTGGTAATTTATTGAAGGTGGAGGGGTTACCAGCCCCTCGCACCCATCCAGAGCCCCCATGTGGCCACTGTGGTGGTTACAAACGCCATGAGGGGAAAGGCCAATCTAAATTGGCCCTCCCCCCACGCCACTGCCCACCACAGCGTTGCCACCCGGCACCACGAGGCGGTAGGGGGTTCTTTTTGCCGGACCACAAACAGACAGACAAAGACAAAAATATTCCCCGTGTAGCCTTAACAGACTGTAGGGGCAAGTGCTGTTAGCGAGCGCCTATGAAGGCCGGAATGGTACACGAGGGGATGGGTGGTCAGCACCACGCCCGACCGCCTTTGTCTCCCCAGTGGCGATATTTACACACCGCACCAGGTACTCATTTGAGGCTGAGTCGACCTAGGGGAGGCCCGGGACCGGTTCAGATAATTGTCATTGGTGTTGGCCGTGAGCGGGAATTGAACCCGGGTCACCAGGTTCATAGCGCAGCGTAGCGCTAACCGCTACACTACCGCTCCCCATTCGCACAGACAAACACACATACACAGACACATACACCCACACAGACAGACAGACACACACAGACAGACAGACACCTACACACACAGACACACACACAGACACACACACCCAGACAGACAGAGAGACACACATACACAGACAGACACAAACACACACACCCAGACAGACAGAGAGACAGACACACACACAGACAGACACAAACACACACAGACAGACAGACACACACGCAGACACACACACACACACACAGACAGACAGAGAGAGACACACACAGACAGATACAAACACACACAGACAGACACACACGCAGACACACACCCAGACAGACAGAGAGACACACACAGACACACAGACACAAACAGACACAGACAGACAGACGCACACGCAGACACACACCCAGACAGACAGAGAGACACACACACAGACACAAACACACACAGACAGACAGACACACACGCAGACACACACACACCCAGACAGACAGAGACACACACACACACAGACAGACACAAACACACACAGACAGACACACACGCAGACACACAGACAGACAAACACCTACACACACAGACACATACACAGACACACACACCCAGACAGACACAAACACACACAGACAGACCCACACACACCCACACACACAGACACACACACAGACAGACACATACACACACCTACACACACAGAGACACACACCCAGACAGACAGACACACACACAGACACACACAGTCACACGCACAGACACACACACACACACAGACACACACACAGACACACACACAGACACAAACACACACAGACAGACACACACGCACACACACACACACCCAGACAGACAGAGACACACACACACACACAGACAGACACAAACACACACAGACAGACACACACGCAGACACACAGACAGACAAACACCTACACACACAGACACATACACAGACACACACACCCAGACAGACACAAACACACACAGACAGACACACACACACCCACACACACAGACACACACACACACACAGACAGACACATACACACACCTACACACACAGAGACACACACCCAGACAGACAGACACACACACAGACACACACAGACACACGCACAGACACACACACACACAGACACACACACAGACACACACACAGACACATACACAAACACACACACAGACACACACAGACAGACACAGACACACACACAGACACACACACGGACAGAGAGACACACACACAGACACACACAAACACACAAACACACACACACAGACAGACACACACATACACAGACACATACACAGACACACACACACAGACACACACAAACACAGACACACACAAACACACATACACAGACACACACAGAGACACACACACAGAGACACAGACACACACAGACACATACACATACACACACACACAGACACACACAGACAGACAGACAGACACAGACAGGGACACCTTCTCCAGATGGGGCACGTTGTGTGTGGCACGGATGCCGCTGTCAAACAGCTCCACAACGGTCGGCTCAAAGAGACACACATACACAGACACACAGACACACAGACACACCCAGACAGACAGAGAGACACACACACACAGAGACACAACCACACACAGACAGAGACACACACAGACAGACACAGACACACAGACATACACAGACACACACACACAGACACATACACACAGACACACACAAACACAGACACACACAAACACACAGACACAAACACACACACAGACACACACACAGACACACACACACAGACAAACACACAGACAGACAGACAGACACAGACAGGGACACCTTCTCCAGATGGGGCACGTTGTGTGTGGCACGGATGCCGCTGTCAAACAGCTCCACAACGGTCGACTCAAAGAGACACACATACACAGACACACACAAACACACAGACACAAACACACACAGACACACACACACAGACACAGACACACACAGACACATACACATACACACACACACAGACACAGACACACACAGACACATACACATACACACACACACAGACACACACACACAGAGACACACACACACACAGAGACACAACCACACACACACAGACAGACACACACACAGACAGACAGACAGACACAGACAGGGACACCTTCTCCAGATGGGGCACGTTGTGCGTGGCACGGATGCCGCTGTCAAACAGCTCCACAACGGTCGGCTCAAAGAGCTCCAGCGGGGTGCTGAAGTGGACCCCAGCAGAGTCCATGGACAGGTCCACAGCAAACAGAGGGCCCCTCCTAGGTCTGACGCAAACACACATACTGATACACTACACACATACTGATACACTACACACACATACTGATACACTACACACACATATTGATACACTACACACACATACTGATACACTACACACACATACTGATACACTACACACACATACTGATACACTACACACACATACTGATACACTACACACACATACTGATACACTACACACACATACTGATACACTACACACACACACTGATACACTACACACACATACTGATACACTACACACACATACTGATACACTACACACACATACTGATACACTACACACACATACTGATACACTACACACACATACTGATACACTACACACACATACTGATACACTACACACACATACTGATACACTACACACACACACTGATACACTACACACACATACTGATACACTACACACACATACTGATACACTACACACACATACTGATACACTACACACACATACTGATACACTACACACACATACTGATACACTACACACACATACTGATACACTACACACACATACTGATACACTACACACACATACTGATACACTACACACACATACTGATACACTACACACACATACTGATACACTACACACACATACTGATACACTACACACACATACTGATACACTACACACACATACTGATACACTACACACACATACTGATACACTACACACACATACTGATACACTACACACACATACTGATACACTACACACACATACTGATACACTACACACACATACTGATACACTACACACACATACTGATACACTACACACACATACTGATACACTACACACTACTACTATATACTACTATATAGTACTACACAATGACACACACACACTGATACACTACACACTACTACTATATACTACTACTACTATATAGTACTACACAATGACACACACACACTGATACACTACACACTACTATATACTATATACTACTACTACTATATAGTACTACACAATGACACACACACACTGATACACTACACACCACTACTATATACTATATACTACTATATAGTACTACACAATGACACACACACACTGATACACTACACACTACTACTATATACTACATACTACCACTACTATATAGTACTACACAATGACACACACACACTGATACACTACACACTACTACTATATACTACTACTACTATATACTATATACCACTACTATATAGTACTACACAATGACACACACACACTGATACACTACACACTACTACTATATACTACTACCACTATATAGTACTACACAATGACACACACACACTGATACACTACACACCACTACTATATACTACTACTACTATATAGTACTACACAATGACACACACACACTGATACACTACACACTACTACTATATACTATATACTACTACTATATAGTACTACACAATGACACACACACACTGACACACTACACACTACTACTATATACTATATACTACTACTATATAGTACTACACAATGACACACACACACTGATACACTACACACCACTACTATATACTATACACTACTACTACTATATAGTACTACACAATGACACACACACACTGATACACTACACACTACTACTATATACTACTACTATATAGTACTACACAATGCCACACACACACACTGATACACTACACACTACTACTATATACTATATAGTACTACTATATAGTACTACACAATGACACACACACACTGATACACTACACACTACTACTATATACTACTACTACTATATACTATATACCACTACTATATAGTACTACACAATGACACACACACACTGATACACTACACACTACTACTATATACTATATACTACTACTACTATATAGTACTACACAATGACACACACACACTGATACACTACACACTACTACTATATACTACTACAACTATATAGTACTACACAATGACACACACACACTGATACACTACACACTACTACTATATACTACTACTATATACTACTATATAGTACTACACAATGACACACACACACTGATACACTACACACTACTACTATATACTACAACTATATAGTACTACACAATGCCACACACACACACTGATACACTACACACTACTACAATATACTATATACTACTACTATATAGTACTACACAATGCCACACACACACACACACTGATACACTACACACTACTACTATATACTATACACTACTACTACTATATAGTACTACACAATGACACACACACACTGATACACTACACACTACTACTATATACTATATACTACTACTATATAGTACTACACAATGACACACACACACTGATACACTACACACTACTACTATATACTACTACCACTATATAGTACTACACAATGACACACACACACTGATACACTACACACCACTACTATATACTATACACTACTACTACTATATAGTACTACACAATGACACACACACACTGATACACTACACACCACTACTATATACTATACACTACTACTACTATATAGTACTACACAATGACACACACACACTGACACACTACACACTACTACTATATACTACTACTACTATATAGTACTACACAATGACACACACACACTGATACACTACACACTACTATATACTATATACTACTACTACTATATAGTACTACACAATGACACACACACACTGATACACTACACACTACTATATACTATATACTACTACCACTATATAGTACTACACAATGACACACACACACTGACACACTACACACTACTACTATATACTACTACTATATAGTACTACACAATGACACACACACACTGATACACTACACACCACTACTATATACTATACACTACTACTACTATATAGTACTACACAATGACACACACACACTGATACACTACACACTACTACTATATACTATATACTACTACTATATAGTACTACACAATGCCACACACACACACTGATACACTACACACTACTACTATATACTATATACTACTACTACTATATAGTACTACACAATGACACACACACACTGATACACTACACACTACTACTATATACTACTACAACTATATAGTACTACACAATGACACACACACACTGATACACTACACACTACTACTATATACTATAAAGTACTACTACTATATAGTACTACACAATGACACACAAACACTGTATGTTACACGACACACTACTACTATTTAATACTACTATACAGTACCACTATATAGCACTACTACTGTAAATTACTACTATATAGGTAAAGCCACGTAGAATGAGAATAAAATAATAAAATAATAAAATAAAATAACACAATAAAATTCTCACGACGTTTCGGCCACAACACAAGTGGCCTTCATCAGGTGAAGGGACGAGACTGTCTGGAGGACAGCGCTGGAGCGAACGAAGCCAAGCTCAGACCGCGACCTTTAAGCTGTGTGAGAAGAAAACAGAGCGCCTTGACAAAGGAATTAGCATAAAAATTAGCATTTAATTGGCGGACTTAGCATGATGAACGGTGTAGAGGGGTTGAACATTTATATTTTTGTTCATATTTTTGTTTTTTTATTGGTTTACTATATGGTATTCATTACATTGTGTAGTGTATACCCAGTTAATGTTAATAGCTCAGCTTATTGAAGAATATATTGAGTACATTTATTATATTGATGTAATTTAGACATCGGTTTTTTCACATCAGTTTACTATATGATAGTCGAGTTGTTGCAGCCCCTTTGGCATCCATGTACTAGGTGCCTCTGTGTATGTGTAGGCTTTGACTTTAACATAGCTATTTCTATGACCAGTCACAAGCTAATCCCTCAGTTATTTCAATGCTAAATTATCCTGTTTGATTTATACTAGGTGCCTCTGTGTATGTGTAGGCTTTGACTTTAACATAGCTATTTCTATGACCAGTCACAAGCTAATCCCTCAGTTATTTCAATGCTAAATTCTCCTGTTTGATTTATACTAGGTGCCTCTGTGGATGTGCAGGCTTTGACTTTAACATAGCCATTTCTGTGACCAGTCACAAGCTAATCACTCAGCTATTTCAATGCTAAATTCTCCTGTTTGATTTGTACTAGGTGCCTCTGTGGATGTGTAGGCTTTGACTTTAACATAGCTATTTCTATGACCAGTCACAAGCTAATCCCTCAGTTATTTCAATGCTAAATACTCCTGTTTGATTTATACTAGGTGCCTCTGTGGATGTGTAGGCTTTGACTTTAACATAGCCATTTCTGTGACCAGTCACAAGCTAATCCCTCAGTTATTTCAATGCTAAATTCTCCTGTTTGATTTGTACTAGGTGCCTCTGTGGATGTGTAGGCTTGACTTTAACATAGCTATTTCTATGACCAGTCACAAGCTAATCCCTCAGTTATTTCAATGCTAAATTCTCCTGTTTGATTTGTACTAGGTGCCTCTGTGGATGTGTAGGCTTTGACTTTAACATAGCCATTTCTGTGACCAGTCACAAGCTAATCACTCAGCTATTTCAATGCTAAATTCTCCTGTTTGATTTATACTAGGTGCCTCTGTGGATGTGCAGGCTTTGACTTTAACATAGCCATTTCTGTGACCAGTCACAAGCTAATCACTCAGCTATTTCAATGCTAAATTCTCCTGTTTGATTTGTACTAGGTGCCTCTGTGGATGTGTAGGCTTTGACTTTAACATAGCTATTTCTATGACCAGTCACAAGCTAATCCCTCAGTTATTTCAATGCTAAATTCTCCTGTTTGATTTATACTAGGTGCCTCTGTGGATGTGTAGGCTTTGACTTTAACATAGCCATTTCTGTGACCAGTCACAAGCTAATCACTCTGCTATTTCAATGCTAAATTCTCCTGTTTGATTTGTACTGGGTGCCTCTGTGGATGTGTAGGCTTTGACTTTAACATAGCCATTTCTGTGACCAGTCACAAGCTAATCACTCTGCTATTTCAATGCTAAATTC